GGAACGAAGCTGTGCTCAGTCAGAAAGTACCTCTACAGCGGTGGCCTGTCCCACAGAGTCGCTCTAACTGGTCAGCACGGGCACAACCAGGGGTTCGTCCCTCATATGTGTTCAGCAGAGGCTTGGGAGGCTGACTGTGTCCATGTTCTGGAAACAGGAAGACTTTGTGCCCTTAGGAGACCTCGCTCTGTAGGTGGAAGTGAGACCCTGGCACAGGGCGGCTGAGCTCTGGGGGAGAAGCACCGGGGCTGGCCTGGGGCTCGCCACTGCCGAGGTCTCGGAGGAGGTGTACTGCACACGGGGTGCCTTTCTTCTGCCCTCTCCTCCTGGCCCTCAGCTGGGCAGGGGGCTGGGAGCAGCTGCTAGGAGCCAGCTCAGAGGATGCCTGCCACCCCCACCTCAGCAGAGCTGTCCCCTCTCCTTCTCCTGTCACCTGAACAGGCCTCTCACAGCCTCCGTGCACACTCGCCCTAGCCCCTTCCACCATCGCCCTCTGTCCCCGTCCCCACTGTCCTCCACCACCAGTGGGTGCTGTCCTGTGTCACTGTGCCCTCCACCTTCAATGATCACTTGTGTCCCACCATGTTGTCATCTTTCCTTGACTTTACGGACTCCACTGGGGCTATACCACCGAGAAGGACACAGCTGAGAACGCGAGGAGAACCCCAGGACAGGAGAAGGCCTTTGTCCACTGCTCCTTCAACAGGGGATTCTTACCCAGAATATATAGGAACTCCAAAATCTTACCACCTCTTTAAAACCTAAAAAAACAAATGACCCAATCAATAATGGGGAAAAGAACTACACAGACTATTCTCAAAAGAAGATGTACAAATGCCCAACGATATACAAAAAAAAATGTTCACCATCTCTAGCACTCAGGGAGATGCAGACCGAAACTACACTGAGATTTCATCTCACTCCAGTCAGAATGGCGGCCAGCGAGCATACAAATGAGAAAGCTGGTGAGACTGTGGGGAAAGGTGCACTCCCAGAGTGTTGGTGGGACAGCAAAGGAGGGCAGTCACTCTGGAAATCAGCCTGGAGATCCTCCAGACCTTGGGCATGGAGCCACCATATGACCCAGCTAGGGGGCTCCTTAGTATTCACCCCAGGGAGCTAAAATCAGCCCACTGGAGAGAGAGAGGCACGCAGTGTTTACACAGCTCAAGTCCCAATAGCCAAGTTGGGAAACCTGTCCAGATGCTGGTCAACAAAAATGGATACAGAAAGCGGGGCCCCTCTACCCAGGGAGCTTTATCTAGCCATGAAGCATGAAGAGGTGGCACTGGCTGGTGAGTGGACAGAAGCAGAGAGCACCATGCTGAGCTACAGAAGCCAGGCTCAGAGACTCAAGGGCCAGACGCTTCCCCTCACTTGGAAGTTAAAACAAAATAAGGGGGAAAAGTGGGGGGTGGTCCCTTGAAAACAGAAAGGGGATCAGTGGAGAGAGGAGTTTGAGGGGGAGGGAGGAGAGACAGGAAAAGGGAGGAACCGCAGAATGAAATGGACGAGCCATGGACGAGCCAGGCACCGCGGCACACGTCTGTAATCCCAGTGGCTCAGGAGGCCGAGGCAGGAGGATGGTGAGTTCACAGCCAGCCTCCACAACTCAGCTAGACCCCATCTCTAAATAAAAAAAAGGGCTGGGGATGCTGGGGATGGGACTCAGTGGTTAAGCACCCCAGGGTTCCATAGCTGGTAACAAAAAAAAAAAAGAATGGAATGGGCTAAATGTTGCCATGTACATGGATAAAATACAGGAATATGCCACAGTGAGTCCCACCTTTACACGGTCTGCAAAGCACCGATTGAAAAAAAGAACAAAAAGAGCAAATGGCAGGTAGACCTCAGAGTAGAGGAAGGGAGCCGGGCGGGGGGAAGCCCTGGGGACTAACATGGAGCCTGTTCTGTTCCCCGCATGCATGACGACGTCAAAACGAATCCACTATTGTGTGAAACTATATGTCACCAGGGCAAACTTTTTTAAAAAAAGATATAAACAGAAAATTTTAAAAATGAACAGAAAATTTTAAAAATTTAAAAATCCCCGTGCTCTCTGCACACTCTAGTGTCTCCATGCTCCGGGCAGCCGCAGCAGCCGCAGGAGACACGGGGCTGTGGTTCTCTGGAAGTGCGCAGCCTGAGCAGCAGGACCACCCCAGGCCAAGGAAGAGACAAGGACAGAGACAGAGGCTGGGGTCCACTCTCTGGAGGGCGGCAGAGCCCCACGCTTCCTGAGTTTCACACCAGGGTGCCCTCTGTGTGTGCTCCTCGGTGTAGACTCCTGAAGACCATCTCACAGAAGCTCGTTCCCACACAGCCAGAGAACAAGGCCTCATTTGACCCCTAAAATGGTCTTTTTCATCTTCCACCAGACTTGGGGGCTTACTGAGTAGGAACGGGAGGGCTCAGGCCGCGTGGGCTGCCAACACGCAGTCACCTATCACCAGCTAAAAAGACCACTTCACGCACTTCCAACAAACACCCATAGAACACTGAGCCAAAGAAAGTCCTGCAGGTTCTCTCCTGCAGACTCGGGTGGCTGTATTGTGTGTCAATTCCCAAACGTCAATCATCAGTTATACAGAAAGAAGACAATCTATGGCCCTCAAATAAGGGATGGCTTTGTTTTTTACTAGAATTGGGAAGATTCCTCTGCAAAGAGTGAGAGAGAAAGGAGAACAGAAAAGGAGAGGTTTAGGGGTTTGCAGGAGAACTCTGAGGAGGAGAAATGAGAAAGGCCAGAACCACTCCAAGCCCACGCTCGCCGCAAGACCCAGCAGATGTGCAGTTTGCATCTGCCCAACTGAACGGAAAGCTGCGTCCACTCAACAGCCTGCCCAGGGAGACGGCAAACCACAGAGCTTGGGCGCAATGGGGTGGCCTTTAGGAGTGGCTCTGCAGGCCCTGGAGTGCTCTGCAGTGCCACCAAGCCCTGCAAGGACAAGGAGGAATCAGCTGCATCACCAGGAGGGAGGGCCCAGGGCCACCCGACGACCCCAGTGTGTGACACTGGAACAGGCAAGACCACTGAGCCCGTGAGAAGATGTGGTTGCCAGGGGCTGGGAGTGGGGACAGAGCAGGCAGAGCTCAGGGGGTCTGTAGGCAGGGACATTCTTGCTCTGTGTGACACTTTACTGGCCGACACATCACTATGTGTTTGTACCCATGGAAGGTGCAGCAGCCAGGGTGGACTTTGATGCCAACTGTGGACTCTGGGTGGTGCTGACATGCCACACTGGCTCCTGGACTAGGAAACACGCCTCTGAGGGACAGTGGGAGGCTGTGCGCGTGGGACAGGAGGTTTATGTGCACTGTGTACCTCCTGCTCAGTTTTGCCGTAAAACAACTTGCTTTTTTTTTTAATGATCTGTTTAAACATTTCAAGAGGTCAAGAGGGAAGGAAGAGGAGAAGGCAGGACGCGAACACCACCTACAACCTTACGAACTTTTCTGTTTGGCCGATAAGTGCCATCAGTCTCCTCTCTACCATATACTCTGCCCCTAATTTAAAAAGATCAAGGGCAATTTTATGTCAAAACAGAAAGCAGAATGCAGACAGTCTAGAAAGAAAAGGACTTTTTCTCAAGATGAAGTAAGTAGATGAGTGGACTTCCTTTGACATTTTTGTTGCAGATCAGTGAAAGTGTTCCTGCACACAGGCACTAATCCAGCCATGCCTCGCAAATCACCAACCCACAGCACAGTGAAACCAGAGGTAAGAAATTGTGCAGACCATAACCTCAATTTTATTAGCAACCTTTTAAACCATTAAATGACCTAAGTCAATTTTCTTATGTAAATCCTAAATATGCCTCGCCAGCGACCTGCCAAAAGATAAATTGAGTCTGAGCGTGTTTATGTGCAAATTCCACCTATTTTATGAGGACGGCTGACCTTGTGTGGTACCACATTACATGGTGCCTCCACCTGGGGCTCCTTGAAGGGTACTAAAAGGTTGAGCTGCCACAGAACATCTCCACTCTGCCCTTTTTAGGAAATGACTCCTTAAACACAGGCCAGACAGGAAAGACGGGGACTATCTTCAGGAGATAATGACTCAAGTGTGAGAATGTGGCTTCCCACTAGTAATCGAGCAGAGGTTATTGTCTTATATTGACTACTTGGAGCCTTAGCCCTGGAAGGGAAAAACATAGGTCTCTTCTAAACTGGAGTTGAGAGTAAAGGTCAGCTTGGTGGCAGGTAGCAAGAGATGCTATCCCACAAATTCAGACCACAGCAATTAGGGAACTCATGGTTACTGCTGGCCTGGGGACCCCAGGAATAGATGGAACCTCCATGCCAAGACTCTGACTTTGATGCAAGCTTAAGTGTTTACTAATTCAAACCTCTAAAATAACATTTTCCCCACATAACTAAGTAGAGCTCAATCCCTGTCTCTATCTTATAAAGGATGGAATTTCCTAAGCCAATGTGATCTTGATGCTAAGGGGGTCAGGATATACCACCCCAAACTATGGCCCCTTGCATTTAGTAAAAAGGGGGGGGGGCTCTGACCTCCTGCCAGCTTGTCTCCTGAAGCAGATTATAGGACAGTGCTCTGGTCTTCCCCACCATAGGCACAAAAATGGATCTCCCAACACCCAGCAGAAAGCATTTGGGGACAGAATGGGTACTAGTGGGGCCCCCTGCACTTGGTCACTACTGTCAGGCCACACCCTCAGCCCAGCAATCCCAATGCCAGGCTGCCCCAGAATAGGCACTCTTCCCTCTTTCCGTGGGTCTTCATTTTGGAGGTGACTATATCACACAAAATCTACAATAAATAAACTTGGTGACTTTTTATCAATCTGTGCTTTGCCATGAACCCAGTGCCAGGTGAGACAAGAACTCTCTTCTCCCTACAGTACACCTCCAAAATGCAGGTCACACAGGACCGGTGCTTGTCCCTGGGAGGTCCTAGGAACAGGAAGGAGCGCCCCCCTGCACACAGAGGTGGCCGACTGTGGCCACACCCAGCGGCAGGGTCCACCTACTTGAGAACTGGATGGAGAAGCCCGACTTGCTGATGAAGAAGTCGCTGTCGAACTGCAGCGTGAGCGAGTTGAAGGTGCTGTGGATGTCCTCGGGCAGCGCCGAGCCGCTCCACTCCTTCAGGAGGATGCTGCTGTCCAGCGGGCCGTCCCACACCTTGAGGATGTCGTGTGCCAGCTCCGTGTCGAACACGATGAAGTGGAGGCTGCGAGAGAAAGCACAGCTGTCCACGGGCTCCCTGCTGTCCCTGCCCGGCACCACACCCCAGAGACTTCAGGAACCCGCTGCACCCTCCCAGCCCCTCCAGTGGTGCAGAAGGGACTGAAGGGACTCACGTGTGCATTAGCACACAGCATGAACTCCTCAGTCTGTCGGGCTGCAGAGAAGCCGGGCTATGGCCAGCGCCATCCATTAAGGGCTGCAGCCTTTCCGTTGGGATTGGGTCTCTCTATGATGGAATCCAGCCTGCACTAACCCTAAGGAAGGTGGAAGTCCCTTCCTCCTAGGCTGACCTAGGTTTTCCTGACCTGGTGTTGTTCCTAAGGTGCCTGGCAGGTGGCAGCACGCACAGCGGGGAAGGATGCCCTGGCCACCTGGTTCCACCCAGCGCAGTCCCCACCAGCATCCACACAGGCGGCCCAGGGGTTGTGTTTCTCTCTATACATTTTATCTTCAGAAGAAGACATTATTTTAAATCAGCACAATGTCAGGAGTGCCTAATGCAAATCCCTTCCTGCAATGCCTAACACACTTGCATGGGGCTTGCAGGTGTTCCGGGGCCCCTTGGACCTTCCCCTCCTGTGGCAGTCACTCAGACCCAGCCCCACGTGTAGCCCTGTCTATGCGGGGCAAACAGAGGGCTAGCTAACATCCCATCCAAAGTCGCTATTTCCTGAGAGTGTGGTTTATAGTTTTTCATTTTCTCCTTATTGCCCATGGACTGTAAAGGAGGTAAAAATGACTACAGATGACACAAAAACTACATAAATCTCAATGACTTCAGGTTGCTCATATCAGGTATACAGAGCATACCTATCTGATCTGTGTAAGCAAGAATGTGTAGTGTATCTTTAAATGTTCCACATAAAGAAGTGTACAGGGTATAGCGCACATGTTATCCACCAATACCAGTGTCAACATTCTGCCCGATTTGCATCAAATCTTTTAAAAAATAAAATTGTATAGATATGCCCATGCCTGCTCTCCAGGGCATCTGGCCCTGCACCCAGCTCTTTGCATGTGCCATTCCCAGGTGAGCTTCTGAAGTGCCCACATGTGTCATGAGAACACTGCCCGAGTGGCACCGGGTCTCCATGTGCTTGCTGGGGGCACACAGTCCCCGTCACAAGCCTGTGTGTGCCTGCCTGATTTACAGCCAGCGCTTGCCTCCATTAAGAGTGTCATGAGAGTCCTGCACACTAAACATGTGGAATTTTTTTACTTTAAAAGCATGAGTTCTGTATTTTTCAGCCCTCTACTGTAGGATGCAAAGTTTTTCTGCACCGTGAAGCATGGTGCCGCCATGGACCTTCCGCATCACTGATCTGAGGGTCTTTCTAGGTCTGGCATAAGACAGTGGCCCTGTTGCTTTCCCTGGTGACTCTGACTCCTTCAGTTCACCATGATGAGCAAACGCCCCAGTTTGCCAAGACCTGATGCTGGATGAACAGCAGCAGCCAAGCAGGGCTTGGATCTCTCATGGTCTCTGGTTATTTATGAGGTTGATCATCTTGGTGTGCCTGTTGATAGAATTGAACAACCCAACAAGTATTTATTAAGTACCAGCTGTAAACAAGCCCCCTTCTGGAACTGTGGATATACCATTGAACTACACAGCCCTGCCTCGGGGAGCTTACGTTGCAATGAGAGGAGAAAGAAACAGCCACCAACGAACATGTGAAGAGCGTTGCACGTGAGTAGGTGTAAGTGCAACGAAGAGAGAGAGAGAGCAAGCGGACTGAGGGCACTGGGATTGCCTAGACGGGTGGGGGGCAAGTGAGGGAGACACACCTCCTGGGTGGTGAGGTTAAGTGGGTGAGGCCGAGAGGCCGCAGCGCCCCTCTAAAGAAGGCAAGAGCTTGTTTAATTCCACGTGAGGAAGAGCTAAGGAAAGCAATCCCTGAGGGGGCATGGTTCTGCGCTCACCCAGTGTGGCCAGAGCAGAGGGAGAGGGACTGAGGAGGGAGACGGAGATTAGAGAAGCATTTTGTCTTCTGCGCTGGCTGATAAACCAAGGCACCGTTTCAGTGAAGCATTTATCTCACCAACAATTTTTAAAAATTACTCTGCTTGCTCTGGTGACCACATACTTTCAAAGAAAATGTAGACTCTGTGACCTGCTTGGGTAATCCAGCAAGACTGCCCTTGTGTGGACATGTCCGTGGAGGCACTGAGAGGTTGCGAGACTCTGGGCGCAGGTGGAGGAAACTGGACCCATGAGGCGTGAGCAAGAGGGGGCAGGGCCACTGTGGCCCAGGAAACCAGAGAGACAGAGCTGCATCCCCTGGTGGAGAATGGGAGCAGGTGGAGCAGGAGCCCAGCCCGCAGGGACCAGCACCGTGCCGGCACCGTGCCACCAGCCGGTGGAGCCCAGGCTTCTGCAGTGGCAGCCAAGAGGGGACTGTTCACCCCAGGCGGGAGCTGCAAAGAGAAGTCTGGCTGAGGTGACGCAGAGGTGACACACATGTGCATCACCAGCAAATAAATGGCTTCTAAACCTGGGGCTAAATAAAGCCATCAGAGGTCACAGGTGGAGAACAGAAAGGGACCACAGACCTGGGTGTCTGATCAGCACGTCAGGTCTACAGGAGCTGTGGGTGTGCTCCGCCTCCTCAGGCACTGCATACTCAGATCACGTTCTCGCCGAAAGGCTTCTTCACCTACCTTTATCATGTTAAGAAAAAGCTTTCTACTTGTCCTGCTAGGAAGGTGTATGGGGTTTGCTTTACTTTGTTACACTGATTGTGGAAAAGCAATCAGTTCCATTAAATTATTCTTCAATTTATATGTTGAGAAAAAATAATAATGCTCATTGGTTTACATCTATGTAGATAAGCATCATTATATTTTCTTGATATATAAATCAAATGAACTATAGAGTTAAGCATTTAATTTTTCTGTCTTGTTTTATATTTATCCTTTGACAGAAATGTTATTTTAGTCTTATTAAAAGAATTGCTTTATTTTCTTTTCTTTTTTTTTTTTGTTCTGGAATATTTTTCCTATATATTTGCATAAAATGATCTTTTATTTTTAAAAATGTTCTAAAATAATCTCTACTGTATAGGTACATCTCTATTTTCATTCCAAATATCAACTGCTTGGGCCTCCTATATTTTATCTTAATAAGTGTGCCCAGTTGTTTCTCAACTTTATGTTTATTAACTACCTTTATTGTTACTTTCATTAATTCATTTCACTATATTTGGTGTTTTTCCATTTTTACTTCCTTGAATTTATACTATATTCAAGCTTCCATTATCTGAATGTTTGAATATTAAGACATAAAAAATTCATGTTTTTTATCATTCTAGAAATTCAGATTTGCAACACTGTGGAATTGACTTTTTATAATGCATGTGTGTAGTATTTCAATAAGAACAAAAACACTAAAAGAAGGAAAAAGTTAATTTAAATGATTGCTCTGTATAAATTTATGGCCCTACAATTTAAACTATCAATTTATAAACATAAATTACCAATACTGAATCAAGCAGATCAATACTGACAAATACTGAGAAATACACATCTTAGAATTATAAAAGTATCTTAAAATTGGTGATAAATTTAAAACATGAAAAATATCCAAAAATGGGACTAAGCATTCAGTAAATATTAATATTTAGAAATGCACTTATCAATATAGATAACAAAAGTTTTGTTCTGGATATTGGTGAAGGACAATGTGGCTCACTATAACATTCTAAACAATATTTTTCTGGAGTCAATGCCTCTGCAATGAGTCAGGTAAAAAGGCATCAGATTCAGAAAAAATATCTCTTATTTGTAGATGACGTGATTGTGCATGTAGAAAACATTTAAATCTAGAAACTTTTAGAATCAACCAGTTCACATTTATGTAAGAAAAATATAAAAATAAAAATCGATTTCCATATAAAAGCCATAAACAGAAAATTTAAAAAAAAAAAACAATACTACCTACATTATCATCCCAAAGCATCCTATAGCTAAGATTAATTCTAACCAAAATGTGCAAGGCCTTCACACAGAACACTGAAAGGTACTACTGAGGCAAATCACGGGAGACCAAATAAATGGAGCAGCACATCGTACAGGGAATCCTGGCAATTTCTTTTGTGGAAAATCTCTTTCTGAAATTCAGACAGAAATGAAGAAGGTCAAAATCAGCCAGGCATCTATGTAAAGAAGAGTGGATCTTAGTATCAGCTATCAAGACTTTTATAAAGTAGGTAAGTGATTAAGATGGAAAGTGCTACACATAACTGACCAAGATATCAATGGTTGGGATACAGTGCAGAAACAGACCGACTCTGATATAACTGTCCTGCTTATGACCAGAGGTCCACTCCAGTTCAACGAAGAAGAGGTGGACTTCAACAAATGCTCCACTGAACTCCACACAGGAGCGGGATGGGAGGGGACACCAACCTACAGGAAAACCTGGGGTCGTATCTTCACAACCTTTGGAAGTCCGGATCTTTCCTTCAATCAGAAAACCACTAAGAACCATCAGGACAACATACATGATAAAGCATTTAAATACAGATCAGAAATTCAGGAAACATAAATAAAAATCAGTGAAAACAAATCCAACATTAAATGAAAAATCCGTGTTTAACGGAAGAAAACATCCGGATACAGGAAAGACCAAAGAGCATAGGAACGAAGGTGTGAAATTCGCAATCAATGAAGGTTGCCTTCAGGAAAGGTAGACACAGGTGGAAACTAACAAGGAAGACAGCCTGATGCAGAATGGGGGCAGTGGACTTTAGGAGCAGGGCATCAGAGGGTGCTCAGAGGGCCACTCAAAATGTAAGAGGCACGGGCCTTGATCAGTCTCCAGGAAGCGCAATGGAAACTCCTGCGGCCCCCAGGTGCTAAGTGGGAATCAGCCAAGGCGGAGTGCTGAGAAGGTGGGGAGCCTGAGCCTGAGACGGGGTGGAGACAGGTCTACAGTGACTGGGTGATGGTCCGCCACTGCCCAGGGAGCCTGCTCCAAGGGCT